ATCTCGGAACACAACCTTGCCTGGACCTAACCAATGTTCACTGCCATCACGTTTGTAATACACCAAATCACCATGATGGTATATTTCCTCCGAGGCTCTAATTTTGCAACGCAGAGCTCTTCGGATCCTTTCATTTGCTTCTGAGGCGATAAATGCTTTCCTCGCTGCATGCAAAGGGTTCAGATGTTCAGCAAATGACTCACTTCTTGTCACACCGTCAAGTGCTGGGACCGTTTCACTCATGATGTTTGGCAAGTTTGGATTCTTCCCAAACACTAACTGGTAGCTACTGAAACCATGCCACATTTGCAAAGCATTGCGAGCCATATTCGCCCAACACAGGAGTATATCAAGAGGTGTTTCTGGACACTGTTCCTCCATTCTAGCAAGCATCATATCAGTCACTGAGTGGATTCTCTCACATAGTCCGTTCTGAAATGGGCTTTCCGCAGCAGTTATGTGAACTCGGATGTTCAGTATACTAGCCACCTCTCTTATTTCGTCGGCATTGAACTCCCCTCCATTGTCTGTCAGGATACTTTGCATCACTCCGAATCCAGCTCCTACCCAGTGCGTCATAATCTTGTCAATCACTTCACTTGGTGTTTTCCAAGTAATGCAGGCAGACACAGTTAATCTAGACCACATGTCCATAGCAACTGTCTCGTTGAATTGCGATGCCATTGGAAATGCAACAGCACGTTCTTGGCTGGTGTTCTTGTGTAGATCTTACATAACTGACACCGCTCATAAATTGCATGGACAGTGTCCCGGAACTCTTCTCTCCAGACACCTGCATCCTTAAGAAGGGCCACAAGCTTTCTCTCTGAAGGATGAGCAAACTGTCTGTGTAATTTCAAGAGAGTCTTGTACCGTTCGTCTTTGTCGAGTTTCTGAAGCAACACAGCATGTGCTTCTTCAATTGGTATTTGCTCATTCTTGTCAATGCAGTAGTGACCCGATGATGTATAGTTCAGATTCACTTTCTGTCCAAGAATTTCTGCTGTATCATTCCCAAGATCCAACTTGATTCGTGCCTCCTTCATAGCATGTTTTGATAGTAGTAATGGTATATCAGAATCCACAACATCTGTTCTGATTCTGGTGGCTTTTCCAGCCATCACAGCAGGTATTTCATAATATCCCAGTGACTTCAGCATCTCACAACCTCCAAACTTGAACACTTTTACACCATCGCACACTGTCACTTTTTCTTTGTCCACTTGATCCAGAGACGCTATGTATCCATTAAGCCATGTTCTGCCACACACTGTACTCAAACACGCACTGTCCAAAACTGCACATGATCTAGCACCATTGCTTAACTGAGCCAAACCTTCCTTGATACTTCCAGTGAACAGCACCACTTGTTTTTCTGTCTGTACTGGTTCACCTTCAGTATAGTTGTCTCTTGATGACATGTTTTCAAAGCTGTGAGGACAATGTGCAATTAGATGTCGGAATGAACCACATGCAAGACAAGTTAAAGTTCTACCATTTGCACCAACAGGGTTCATAGCTCGATCTGACTGTCCTCGACCTCTCCAAGTACTTCCTCTTCCTCTGCCATTACCAAATCCTCTTGATCTGAAATATCTGCAACGAGATCTGCCAGACTGACTAAAATATGTTTCTTCTTCTTGAGCCACGAAGGCTGGTTCCACCTTTATATTCGCAAATGCTGCTGAGCTTGCACCACCACCTGCCTGCTGACCGAGGAATTTCTTCAGTGAAACCTTAGCTTGATCATACAAATCTTCCTTTTTAGTATAGTCCATGCCTGTCATAACCAACATTTTCTCTTCTTTGCTTATCTTTGCACGTCTGAAAGCAAGACTCATTCCCTGTGGAAGACTCATTCCCTTTCTCAAAATCTTGTTGTATCTTTGATCAAATGTTGAAATAAATTCATTAATTGACTGTCCAGATTCACGTTCATAGTCCTCAAAATCTTCAAATTTATCCAAACTATCTGCCAGGTCATCCCCATTTTTTATCCAAAAACGTCAACAAGGTATCGAAACCATCTTCTTTCTTCAAACACTTCCTCACGTATACCAATCTCGTTTTCAGGCAAGGACAGAGCTAAGACCATACCTTGTTTCTCTTTCTTTAAGTCAGTAACTTCCCGCTATGCAAGCAGTTCCTGTTTGTAACGCTCGTAACTCTTACTAAGGTTGAAATCCGGAGGGTTGATTCGCACAGCCATGGTACGAAATGTTCCACTTCTGTACACTGAGTATACTTTGTCCCGCTACCGAGTCCAGTTTTTGATCATGTCTACAATGGAATAACTTCGTTCAACTACAGAATTAATTGTTCAGATTGATAATTGTCGCTTTCACTGAAGATGTCACTATGCAACTGAATATCCATCACATCATATACTGGCAGAATACAACTGAACGCAAATTTCACTTGTCCAACATCATGGTCAAGGTTCAATCAGTAACTTCAAACTTCATACGGTGTAACTCACAGGATATACAGTCAATACGCTTGCCACAATGATTAGAATATGCAAACCATGCTCTGCTACCACTGTTAATTCATCTCTATGATAACCAACACTGTATTCATTCACATATGCTATTCATCTGTCACGTCACCTTGTATACATGCTCACTCGCTTATACCCGGGAATTACCCATAAGCCCCATAGCTAGGCTGTAACATGCGCCGAGCAGAGTTCACAGCAGACGACATCAACAGTAACTGCCTCTCTATTGTATGCATATTTGCACCATTACAATCATCCACAAAAAGTGATCCTTCAACTGAATCAGTTAAAACCATTTGTTTCAATATCAAATAAGGTGAAATACACAATACTGATTTATGGAACACCGTGATCCTGATTGTAAAAGTTCAGACAGGGTTGACGCAACTCGGACTTGAAATTGTCTGCTATAACCTGTGATATAAGCTGAACTAAACTATATCTCAACCAAAATCCTTTATAATTCCGTGCTTTCAGGTAGCATCGTATGCTTTCTCCAGATCAAATAAATTTTATACTACATGTTGTTTAGGTACAATTCCACTTGTAACAAAGGATTCTAATCGTAATGATGAATTGTACTTCTATTTGTCCGGAAACCACATTAACTGTTTGTTACGAGGTTACTGGTTTCCAGAGAGCAAATTAATATATTATTTACCATGGTTTTACAGACACAGCCAGTTAAAGCTACTGGTGTGTAATGGGAAGGATATGTGTGCTCTTCGTCAGGCTTCGGTATAGGGACTACAACGGCATTATGTCACGAAGGTGGAAAATTCCATATTTCATCAAATATATCTGTACTGTGACCAGTTATTCAGTCTTGTATAAACACACAGCCAGCTAACCAACTATCAAATTTTTAATGATTCCTGATGCATAATCTAGCATTACAGATGACTGGTGATTGTTTGTTTGACATATAGATGTGGTAGGACTTGATAGTTATATGGTGAAAAGACAGAAATGAATACAAAAGATCGAATAGTTCTACAATGGTTCTGATAATGCAAAAGGTCATTGAAATAAATCTGTACAACATGTTTAAGCTTATTCATATTTCTTACATTATACATTCTAATATGATAAAAAAAATGCATTAATTCATGGAAATGATTCCTACATCAATAATTAATTAAAAGAGATTTCAATAAATTTTTTCAATGAAGTAAAATTCTGTGACCTCTGCCAATGGAGCCAAAACATAGCAAAAGATGAAACCATTAAAAAAAAGTACATTCAAAGCTCATTTCCTTACCAAAAGTTATGATGAAAGTGACAAAAAGCCTTACTGATATATACGAAACAAAACTTATACTGCGGGGACTGTTAAATTGTGTGCCTTAGGTTAATTGGTTCCTAAATTCAGGTGCTGGTAGCAGACGACATCTTATCGTAAAGGCTCACAAACCTATCCCCACTGGGAAGAGTTCTAGTGGGGGAGGTAACTCTATAGCTCATAGACTGACTGAAGCGTCCATAAAATCGTTTCCGGGTTTCCAGACATGATTCAGGTAAATGCTCAAGGGCCGTATGTAGCTCATTGTTTGTGATATTTAAAAAAATCAGGAACTTAATTTGATGATAAAGAATGTTCATCATGAAGGCTGGAGTTTCACCAAGTTTACTGGCAATGTCAGCTGTATCAGCTAATTAAATATCATCTTCTTGTCGATAGTGAACAGTAAATTTTGAACCTGTGTCTTTTATCATATTCCACACTGACATCCTTTGACATTGGTGTACGACAATTTATTTTGGATAGAGTTCCTCCACGACTGACGCTTATTCTGCTGAAATGTGCTTCGAGCCATAGGCATTTAAAATTTTGACTTTATTCAAATTATCGACTGTAGGATGTGGGCGAAAATACGTTTCTGCTTTCTTCATACACTTTCTATCCTGATGGCTTTCATTATGAAACCAGGAAAAGAACGTGTGGTACATGTCAAGATAAGGAATTGCATCGGACATCATCTTTTCGCTGATGCCTCAAATTTTGAAATTTGATCCACGTATCTACAATAGAACGCTTTCAGGACTTTTCTGGGGCCTTGAATGTTGTAATCGTCGTCGAACAACATCTGAGCAATAATCGTATGACGCCGTTTGAAATCTTGGTATAAAGAGCGATAACATTTTGTGATACGCTGAAAAGCGGAAAATCGTTATTGCATGACTATTGTTTATGAATATGCTAGTTTGTAGGTGAATTAGTAACTGATTATACCGCTTAGAATAACATTCCAGTAATATGATGTCAACCTAGAAGGAAAGCTTGGTAGGTTTGTACCACTTTGGTAAAACCAATGAACACTAGTAAGGTGCTGGGGCGTATCGGGATTCGAACTCCTATATCCTATGTTTCTGACATGCTAAAGGGACTCAGCTATCTACAGAGGCGTATCTGTGAGTATACTGCAATATATTTCGTTCCATGGAACCCTGATCTGAAAATTGTTTGTTCATACTAACAACTGACTCTTTTACCTTACAGGTCCAGAACCGATGCATGAATGGGGGCGAATATGACCAGGACAAGCTAAGCTGTCAATGTTATGGTGGCTATATCGGCCAGTTCTGTGAAAGAATCATGCAAGGTAAGGCGATAATCATAGCCGAGCTGTCCTTTCTTAAACTAATTTCAGAAACTACACCCAATTGTTACATGTAATCAAAGATGTAATTATATAGATGCTCTACTTTCAAATAAGGAAAGGGAAACCACATTAATGGGTCACTAAAATAAATACAAAATGTGACAGCTTGTTTCTAAAGCCCTCTATGAACAAAACTATTGTACATCTGACTACACTGAACTAAATGTACCTGGAAAGAGTCTTTTGCCAATACTTGCGTTCTAAATTATGGATAACATTCTTTCAGATTGTTCGGAAGGATATAGCACACATCATTATAACAAGGGGTCTGGGATATATTTAATTCAACCATATATGGCACCTGGCCCATTCAAAGTCAAGTGCAGGATGCAGTACGGTGGCAATACATATATTCAAATTCATATGGACGGATCTACCAATTTCAATCGGTCGTGGCAAGAATACAAGGATGGCTTTGGGGACCTTACCAAGGACTTCTGGCTTGGAAACGACAAAATAGCTTCCATTACAAATGGGCGCAGTCAGTTACTCACATTTAAAACTACAGATAATAGTTCCACTGTTCAAAGACAGAGAATATACAAATCTTTCACCCTTTCCCAAGATGGCCTCTACACAATGACATATGAACGGTCTTGGGCACACATACTTCCTGAACATGTTGGTGGTGATTGTTTAGCCGAATTGAAGGGGCAGCCCTTCTCTACCTTCGATCGTGACAACGATGACAGCCCCCTGAACTGTGCTCAAGAGCACCAGTCTGGATTTTGGTTCAAGAACTGCACCCCCTGTAATCCCAATGGTGTTTGGTCAGAGACTCCGGACAAGCTGAGAGCTGGAGTACCTTGGGAGATGTTCTGGACACCTGTAACAGGAGACAACCTGATACTGTCATGCTTTGCCTATTTGAAAGCCTAATTATTTTTATATATTACTGTTAACGCCTCATCCAGGTTGTTCCTTGTTCCCGCTGTCCATCATCATATTTGAGAGGTTGAACTCCGCGGCAGAAAAATATATTCTGGCCCAGTGCTGAGAACAAAGTTTGCACCTTGAGTTCCGTTTGGTGATGAATTGTGTTTTTATTCCCACATTTTTATAAAACATTTCTTTAGACGTCCAAAATGAACGTTTGTTAAAAGTCATGCCATTTGACCGATTTAGTTGAAGAGGTGCAATCGTAAGGAGAGACATCATATGTTACACACAGAGAAAATCCTTTTGGCACATACAGACTTTCACGACACCGCTTGTCTCCAAATCTTGACAGAGGGACGTGTTCCAGCTAGGCAATAATAGCGGACACACTGCATATGCCTGCAGGATGAGAACATTATAGTTCTCGAATGACCTTCTAAATGGATAGATTATAACCCCCATAGAACATTTGGGAGATAAGCAGTGACAACAGTCAACCGCCACCCAAAACGTTTGAGCACTGTAACATACATTACAGGACGAGTTAGCTCGGATTCCACAAGATGTGGAGAAGGTTTGGAATCACACGGTTATCACAACAGATACTCAGAAGCACGCCCACGTGTATACATGATATCTTAAAAAAAGGCTATCTTTCTTTGAACCAGTAGATTAAATGTTTTAACATTCAGCTTTACATTCTTCCCAAATATAGTTTCAAGTTAAACCGTTTTGATACTTGCTGCGATAACATTCTTTTACATGCTCTCAAATTTGTTTCATCTGAAATGGGTGATAGTCTAGTTATAGTCCTTTGTCAACAGCATTATACAGTCTATTATTGTTGTCAACAATGTTTAACTTCATGTCATCACGATGTGGCTGAAATTTTGTCGCGTGCCGTAAAATGTGAACTCACTCACCACTCTTTTGGGAGGGTATAGATCGAACTAAAACCTGGTTTGATAGTAATTGCCATCTAGCTGCATATATATAAGTTCATCAGGGCGGTGGGGTAGCCTGGTGGTTAAAGTGTTCGCTCGTCACGCCGAAGGCCCGGGTTCGATTCCCCACATGGGTACAATGTGAGAAGCCCATTTCTGGTGTCCCCCGCCGTGATGTTGCTGGAATAGTGCTAAAAACGGCGTAAAACTATATTCACTCACTCACTCACTATAAATTCATTAACTCACCAACTGTAGTTACAGTACTGTCCTTGGCAAAGGCAAAGCCACTCTAGTCTCTTCGACGTCGCGGTCGTGTAACATAACCTTGAGTCTGCCTAGCCTTGTCACAATGTTAACAAAATCCACATAGACGTCCTACACAGTGAAACAATGAGTTAAAAGTTGAATATATCAACCAATTCCAACTGCTTTTAAAGTCTGGAACATTTTCCACGATTCAGAGGTTTATAAGAGCAAACTGCAAGAGAGGTATGGACGACAACGTATTGATTATATTATGAGGCGACGTCTCAGTATAGGTTCTTATGTCGTTGTCAATAGTGACTCTTGCTTGACAACGATATAAGAACCTAGACTAAAACGTCGTATCCAGGCTGCTAAACGATCTTCACGCAACAGCTGCTCTTCTGTCTGGTAAGATTAAAGAGGCACGAATGTGTCCCTGTATATTAATTTATACATCTTGAAAATGTTTCTCTTCTGGTACATCTGTAACATGGTGGGTTAGATAACACTGCAGTATTCCGATGTGAGTGAGTGAGTGAGTGAGTGAGTCTTTAACGTCGTTTCAGCCAAATAACGACAAGACCTAGTATACTCATATACATAAGTGAGTGAGTTTAGTTTTACGTCGCACTCAGCAATATTCCAGCAATATGGCGGCGGTCCTTAAAAATAAGTCCATTATATATACAAAGTCAATATTCATAGAGATTATATCTATATACAGATTTTATCATGATCCTATTATCTACAATTTAAAATTAGTAGTGTCGATAATGGTTTGTCAAGAGCTGTTTTAGCTGTGGCATCGGCCTTGTGTCACCTATAATGATAACATGATTTAGTAACCAGAGGAAGATGATGACGCATTGGTCACTAGAAAGATCGTTGTAAAGTTCTAAAATGTCAAGGATTATTGGATGATTCGAGGAGACGCTTTTGAGTGTGAGTGTCTGAAGGCAAGTCAAAGATCTTGAAAAGATGATGGAATTTCTGCAATGGCTTTGTTGTTCAATATTGGTCAAAGCTGTTCAAATTGGCTTTTGCAGGCTCCACCAAAGACAATGGTCACCAAAATGTAGTTCAGATCGGATTGATGACCTGTACAGATCTGGCAGTTCCTCTACAGATAGTTTATAAATTGTAAGAATGAATTCCAATCTAAAATAGTTCAGGATCTTTGTCAGTTGCGTAACGAAAATGAAAACAATTTTAATTTTGTTTAAGACACAGTTGCAGATGTCTTTCTATTGTATATTCCAACCAAGACATGAAATATTGCAACCATCGACAAACGTGTTCAAAACGTTAGTGAGACTATGCATTTGGATGCTGAAAAGTTTGACAGTTAGAACAACAGTGACGCCCTGATAGAGATTGAAATAATCAGACAAAGCGGAGTCCACTTGTACTTGAAATTGTCTGTCAAAATCCAAATTCGTGCAATCTTTTTGAATTTTAAAACGCCATGTTTTCACGTTTCATATGCTTTTCTTACAGCGAAAAAGATTGATACGGTATGTTGTTTGCTGACAATTGAAGTTTTGATAAATGTTGGTAAGACGCATCACATGACCAAAAGTACTTCCGATGGATGAGGAATATATTTTCTCATGGGTTGTTCGTGTACCCATGTGGGCGTGATAACAATTCTTTTGAGAAAACTATAGTAACAGTGAAGGGTGTAGGAGAACTTACAGCAGTGAAACCACTTAACTGACATTCAGTTTGTGTCAGTTCATTTGACGTATGAACCTTACTTCGAGTGAGGGCCAAACATGTATGGACTTCTAATTTTACTAAAAGAACAACTCGTAAAGGTCCGGGTTAGAATGAACCTTCAGTAACCCATGCTTGTCATAAGAGGCGACCGACGGGATCGGGTGGTCAGGCTTGCTGGCTTGGTTGACACATGTCATCGATTCCCAATTGCGCAGGTCGATGCTCATGCTGTTGGTCACTGGATTGTCTGGGCCAGACTCGATTATTTACAGACCGCCGCCATACAGCTGGAATATTGCTGAGAAGTAAGCTTGTGGGAAAAAAGCTGGTCAAAGGTCGACCCAGTTCACGAATCATTCCAATCGCACCCCTAACAAAAGTATCACCCAGTCGCAACTCTACATTGAACATAACAATGACGTCACCCCAATCAGAACGTGGTCTAGAGAATCGAGGAAGCGCAAAAATGTACCAAGGCTATAAAACGCAAAGCGGGAGACAAGATTGTCACTTCGAAGAAAATACGTGTGTGAGAGTCAGAGATCTAAACGATCCTTCATCGATTGTAAAGATACTGCCACTATTGACTCGAGAGATATATTCAACCAATGCAATAACCATGTTGGTACTGACTGAGAAAGCGTTTACCGAAGCTCTGCGAAAAAAAATAGCTTAGTTGTATTCGAATTGTCTCCATTGAGACACGCAGTTATCGATATAACACAACTGTTTTACAACAATGTAGTTCGAGTTCCTGAGGATTCTGTTGTTTATATCACTCGTTACAGAAATGTAGAAATAGATATAGTTTACGGGATATTGTACAGATGTTTTGTACAGACAAACAATTCAATGACGTGTATGTCACTCCGATTTTATGTGCCTATTTCAAGTCTTATTTTATGTGTTCCTTCTGATTATTATCAAGATTGATAATTATGTTGGTACAGGCCACTCAGCAACATACCCCTCACATATCTGTGATGTCCACCCTCCACGGACAACTCAGTATGAAACGGTGTGGATGATCTCATCTGTGAACAGAACAGTTCTCCATTACCGTGTAATAGCCAGTTTTTCCGCGTTGTAGGTGCGAACGAGAATATTCAGGCCTTTAAGTAATTCATGTAAGATACCAATAGTCAGCAGGTTTGCTAACTGGGACTATTACTAGCATGCCAGTAAATATTGACAGACCACCATGTTTATTTCAATTAGCGAGCTACTTTTGAAGATTGTTTGCAGCTGAATTACTTTTTAAGAGCCTGGCGTACAAACATGTTTGAATTGGATGAATGGCTCTCGTTGTGTTTCTTGTGACGTATACGTATTCGATTGATTGGAATTTATTTGTTCAACATCCATGCAAATCCTACGATCCCAATATTGTTTATTTGTTCAACATCCATGTCCCATTGGTCCAATATCAAGCATTTACATAAGGAAAGAAAAAGAAAACAATGCCTGACTGAATGCAAGTATTTCATGTTGAGCAGCCAGGGCCCAATCAATCCTATCAGAAAAATGTAAATTTAACGATATCCCATGTTGCGTTTGTCAATGTCACTGACAGTATGTGCCAACACAGTCTGTTCCCAGAAAGGCTGGAAGAGAAATTATATATTTTCAGAGAAATGAAATACTTTAATATATTATGAGACAAAACACTGTCTCGCTCCCCCATTGACTTGCAGGTCTTTATTTGAGCGCTTCTGTCTTTGTGTTGGAATAATACAATAAATGCGAGAAAATCATTTGAATATGTATTACGCATGTTGTACGATTCCGAATAATTCATAAGCAGGTGAAACAGTCTTAAATAATGATAAAACGGGTGTCAGTTGTAACAGACGCGGAGCTCTGACATCGGTGGGATATCATGGACATATCTGCCCCCTAACCAGATTAAGTAAATTGGCTTCTTGCAGTCCTTAGGAACAAAATCGAACAAGGCCGTGAGAAATGCAAGATAAAAGTTTCAGTAAAATTCATTTGTAAAGTATGTTTAACATGTTTCCTTAATTGCCGTTTTCGAAAGGCTTTTTGTAGTGTTAATATGAATATGAATACCTATTGTATGGTGGAATATCCCTAATATGGGACTTCGTAGATTGATTCTTGTGATGTTCCCACTTCAATGGTATTGTGACTGATACTTGCGGTCACTCGCAAGGTTACACACTACTATAAATGGTTCATGGATACCAGAGTGATCTTCCGTAAGGTAGTTTGTGCTGCTACCTTGTGTCATGAAAAATAAAACACAGCGTTTGTATGATTAGGTGTAAGTAAGAGCAAGTCCACATTTTTCAACTGGAAATACTGTAAATGGCTGGAACTGATGATCAAACCCATTATAGCATAAGGGCACATTACTTTCCGTTTAAAACACGACGAGAGTGATTGGCTGTTTTAAAGTCGCACTACATTTTATGCATCCGGAAGCAAGTTACTATTTACAGGCAGAGCCA